CAACCCTCATCATAACAAATTTTCATCTTCCTCTAATACAACTGTGGTGGCAATTTTTCCAAAACTTTGTTTACGACGTAGTTTATGCTCAAACTTGAGAGGTATTGGCCCTGAAAAACTGTATCGAGCCACCTTAAGGGCGACAGCAGGTAATGTGGTCCTTCACAAATGAATCCTGTTAGAATAGAAAAGAGTGAATCACCTATATTGCCTAAGGGGACTGGGTATGAATTTTTTTCACACAGAAAATTTTCCTTATGCATTAACCATATTTAAATGTCTTTTTGTACCGTCACAATAACGTTGACGAATTGCAAACATGTGAAAAAAGGAAGCGTTCAGTATAAATGGACAAAGAAGTTTCTTGCTAACAACACAGCAAATAAGGGGACAACTCAGAACTCTGGTAACTGAAAGGTGTAATTGCTGGTTTTCAGTGTCACGCCATGCAAAATAGATCAAAATAAAAACCAAAACCATTCGACAGATAAAGTCCAGAAACTGGGAAATGAAAGGAGGTAAATATACAAAAACCCTCGCCAAGATTTGGGTCGAAGGAATAATTGGTATACGAGATAACCGAGGAAATGTTTTAACTAAATTTATAGAGCTTTGTATGGAGACGCCATGCTGGAGCTCATCAGGATGAGCTCCAACATGGCGGACGGAAACCAACAGAAACATCTGTTACCGAGTTTTGCAGTACAAAAGCGTGAATTTACTCCTAGAGGAACTCATAAACATTAAAGTAACACTTTTTCTAATACTTGAACTGTTTAGATAGCAAAAATTCCTCGAAAAAAGTCACTTTTTTAACCTAAATGACAGCTCTCTCGGCCGTCATGTAAATGCTGTGTCACGCAAAAGCTTAGAAATTCAAGCGCACACTATTACAAAACCAAGAACCCCTTTGAAGCGAAAATTTGTTTGAAAATTAGTTTTCAGCCACTCTAATACACCATGAAAGTAAAATCTCAGTAGGATCGATAGTTTTGTAGTTTGAATTTTAGTGACGTCATGTGAAAACCAACAATTGCTCAATTTAAATGAAATGAATTTGGTAACGCGAGTTTGGAAATCTTAAATTGCAGAGTAATTAGACATCTTAGCATCCTTCATGTGGAATAAGACTAACGTAGTGAAGCTCGTACACGTGACCCAGCACAAGCCGGTTGCTACCAGTAACATCATACTCTGGGCAGATTATAACGTCATGGTGATGCAGCAGACTGCTGATCACATGAACGCATGTTTCAAAGCAGTTTGCAGCACCATGGAGAATCACATGATCACCCCATGTACCATCTGCCATCATGGTTGTAAGGTAAGCATTCCAAGATGAATATCCATCAACAAAGTGGAACAGATCCGTCCCATCCGGCTGTAAGAGAAAAATGCTGTGGTTACTAAAAAGACGACAACGCTCATTTCTAAGACGGTTCTTATTCAGGAAACTATGCAGTCAGCTCTCTCCACCACAGACCCTGGGGGGGGGGAATTAACAATTTTATATGGGGGAGGCTCCGCCCCGAGGTCCAACCCCTTACCCTTTTATACACCATTGTTGACAGAAAAGGTTCACCTTCCGTATACCTTCTATTGACAAATGGTGCCCCTTTGACATACCTAGTTTAGAACTTTGTATCCCCTTTAAAAGGAATGCAAAGTTGAAACTGCTGTAAATGCACCATCTTTTTTTATGAATAAATCACTAAACCAGGAAGTTTTCTTGTTTCTTTTACATCCATGAAATGCGTTTGTTAGCCCTTTTTAGTCCTTTTACAGACCCAGATGACAGATTTCCTTACCCTTTTATGTAATTCAACCAATAAAGCCCCTACCCTTTCATAAACCTGAAGTCTGAAAAAGGTACCCCTTTTGTGCAGAGCCTCCCCGTATAGGCCCTTATAGGGAGTACTACCCTGGGCCACAGACAACGTTAGTTGTCGTACTCTAAAATACGTGTCCGCCTCATAAAGTTTCAAACAAAATAAATAAAGAACGATAAGGACCAACTCTATATGTCCATTAGCCTCTCCAAGCGTTTAATAGTGTGGATGACGCAAAAGAGAAGTGAGCAGGAAAAAAGCTGCCGTGGTGGCAAAGTTCTATATCCGTCAAGTCACAGGTCTGTTTTTTTAAACGTACGCAAAAGAAGCTTAACGGCCGAGGCGAAAAAAGGAAATGTTCCCCAGTCCGTTTCCATTTCTGCTTGGGCTTCCGTTATTTGATTTATATTGAAAAGAAACCCTCTTTATTTCCTCCCTTTTCCACTTCGGTCAACCTAAGTTGCTAGTATGAGATAAATAGCTTGACAGCTTTAAGGCACTAAAAAAAGACACTAACCAGCCTAGGGTTGTCCTTGAGATACTGGACAACAGTTCGGCGTAACTCTTCATGGGTGATTTTAATTCCTTTGATGTGGTCAAGTTGTTCTGAAAGTGCAAAAAACATGCAGTTTCCATCCCCTTGATTGTCAGAAATCACAAAACCTTTCTCCAAAGCAATCCTCTTTAAATTCAACGACAGCTCAGTTTTGCTGGCCTCTCTACGCGCTTCCAGCTTGATTTTTTTAAGTGCAAGGAAAACCAGTTCACCTGCAAATGATAGAGAGGAAAAATCCAAAATGCGAAAGGTTATTTCACGTCAGTTTAATATAGCGTTTTCACATGACGTCATGTCGGTCATACTAGTGTTCCGAAACAACGAAACGGCGGCCATGTTTGTGTTCCAAACCAATCCTGTTGGAGTTGAACTCTTTTCTTATATAAACACTTTATTTTGTTCCAACAAATTGGCGTAGATGCTCGCCACATGAGTGAAAACGCTCTATGGGAGATAATACACTGGTTCAAACAAAAACCAACTGACCATTTTAAATTACGGTGGTTTCAACAGAACAAAATGAGAATGACTTAAATCCCACGGCTATTTCTTTAAAACCAGCTAGCGATGATCGAATTTGGAAGACGTTTGCGATATCCAGTAAAATGACGTCAATAGTCTAGGATATCGCCAGAAAAGGGGACGGCAACTGAGAGACCTTGGAACGAAGTTGAAGACAGAAACTTAACATCGATCGAGGTAGGCACGTTTTTCAAGTATGAACTATTTTGAATGGATAATAAAACAATAATTGGATTGGGATTTCAAATGATGTGCAAAATTATGCAGATCTCGTAGGGTGTTATCCGCATCGGCCAGCATCCTCCACGATCTACAAAATTTTTCAGATCATACTCAGCGCTCATCCTAAAATTGCTCATTTAAATTATCGTTACTTTACTTAGGGTAAGAATTTGATTTCTTACCATAAACCATCTTCCACATCGTGTCAACAAGGGATTTGCACTGTCTCTCCCAACTGAATCTCTCTTCATAACTTCTTCGAAGTCTTTGAATTTCCTCAAGCCGCTGTGCCCTAGATTTTTGATGGATAGTTGCTATTGCCTTTGCCCATTCCTTGGGGTCATCCGAATCAATCACAAATGACTCGCCCATCGGAAGACAACGCAGAGCTTCTCCAAATCCGGAGTTTCCACTTACCAGAATGGGAAGGCCAGCTGACATGGCTTCCAGTGCTGTCAAGCCAAATCCCTCAGCTCTTGAAGGCATGATGGCCACATCAACTTCACAAAACAACTCTTTCAATCTTTGCTTGTCTTTCACGAATGATCTGACAAACAACTGGTTTCTTGAAATGCCCGTCTGGTATAAGATTTCCGCGACTTCATCCTGCTTTCCATCAGGTGCGCCAACAAAGATCAGACGGTAGGAACTGTCCTTCATTTCAACTATTGCTTGAGCGGCAATGTCGTATCCTTTGAGACTGAAGTCTTCAAAATCACCACGGCCAAAGGTTAACACCTTGAACTTCGCACTCGCTCGCGTAGCATGCTCAACATCTGAAAACTCTTTAAAGGTGCCTGGCATCAGCTGGAAGACATCTTGATGAGATGAACGCAAGTAGGACGAGAATGCTTCTGTCAACTTGGGCCCAACTGCCACAACGAGATCTGCAAGTTGGCACAGCTCAACTTCAGCTCTGTTCTTTCCTTCTCCCTTGGTAATTGCGCCAGGATAATTCTTATACATTGCTAGCTCTTCAGGTTCGGTGTGCACTACCTGCACCCACTTGCAACAATGAGACTCTTGGATGATTTGAGCTTGTTTACCCAGCTTTGCACCATGACCAATCACGACTTGAATGTCAAGGTTTCTTGGTGGAAAGCTCAACCAATCAAGAGGATCACTAAAGCCAGGGCGACGATGTACTTCCATAATGGAAATCTTATGAGCCTTGGCGGCTCTGTTGTCATCTTCATCGCACTCAAATTGAGGTACAATAATAGTGACTTCTATATTTGGGAGTTTTGCCAAATGTATGGCAAGCGTTCTGTTGATTGTTGACAAGCCACCCTTAGATGACCCCCACTCATCAGCCAGGAGGGAAACTTTTAAGATTGAAGGCTGTGCATGACTTTGTGGTATACCAGAAAAGGCTGAATGCAATTCCTGAAAGCAAACAAACATTGTATATTTCAAAATAGCACTTTTAGAGAGGCTGCCGACAAGAAAGAGTTTGTGCCAACATTTGTAAAACGTGATTCCATCAAATTAAAGATGATGTCAACTTAAGTAGCAAAACAAAACCATGTTGAGTGGAAAAAAGGCGCACACCGCAATACATAAGGTATACGCGTTAATTAAAGGCGTTCAACGTACCTGAATATGGCGAGAATTGAATGTGTATGAGTCACCTCACCCTAAAACTAACGTAAACGCGGACACAAACCTTAACCTTAAGCTCTAACCCTCACCCTAACCCCAACTCAAACCCTAACCCTAACTCATAACGAGTTTGTTGTTGATTCTCTCCATAACCAGTTGAGTTTGTTGGTGGTTCTCTCCCTTACTCCGAGAGGGTTTTCTCCGGTACTCCGGTTTTCCTCTGTCCTTAAAAACCAACACTTCCAAATTCCAATTCGACCAGGAACGCACGGAAACGTTTCAACGAGTTCTTGTGAACTCCTAAGAGCTCCATGGGTAAACAAATTACAGTTACAATAACTCACTGACTCATGACACTGACAAAACAAGCTTTCTTGATCTCGAATATGGCATATTCTGGTGCGTTGAGATTTAACAACGAAACGCACTTGCTCGTCTTTGCTTAATTATCACGGCATTCGGATTCCTTTGCCCCAGTTCCTAATTCTTCGATTTCGTGAACGAAGAGAGAACCTGTGAAGGATATTACGGGAATTTTCCAAAAAAGGAAAAAGTTTAGCAGGAGCTCTTTACAAGTAAGAAAAACGGATAAACCGAGACAAAGAGTGTTCTCGACGATTCGAAAATGCCTAAACTGGAAAAAAAAGTCTTCACAACTGTTGCCATCGTGTCATCACTACGAGAGACTCGCAGTTTTAAAAAGGTTTTCGGCCTTCAAAAACTTTTAGGACAAATTTTATGTAAGTAATATAAAAAAGAAAAGAAGAAGCAGAGACAAAAAGTAGCTTTTGTGACTTGGAAAATGCCTTGACTGGTACAAATCCTCCAACAATCACGCGATAGGAGGCAAGCGTCACTTGAAATGGCACGATTTCAAGATTTACAACGACCACTGCAATTTGAGTAAACTTTTTCATTGCTTGGATAGGCTAATTTTCTACAAGGCTTTCAAAAAGGAGTGCATTAGAACTCTAAGTAGCAGTGCTAGCCTGCGCCTAGGTTGAGCCTCAATCTACCACTATTTCCTTCGTTTTCTAAAGCATTTTTCATATTACTCATCGAATTTTAGTATCTACGGTATTTACATTATTTTATAGGCTTATGTTTTTTAATAGTTTTCTAATTATTATGGCAGATGTAGAGCTGCCCCATCTGGATACACTGCAATAAATCATCATCATCATCATCACTATCGTCATCGTCATCGCCACACTTAACAGAAGGCTGATGTCTATAAAATTTTTTAGCCGATAGTAGTAATACTAACCGCACGTGGAATGTTCTGGATGGGCAAGTGAAATTTACACAACAGACTCGTTCTTCCTGTAGGTATCGAGGTGTTATGGAACTCTACTTCTGCTAGGTCCTCGTCTTTACGGACACGAACTCGCAATTCAGTCTTGAACTCGTCTTCTGATAACCTGTTCAAATGTAAACCAAAGATATCCATGCTGTAATAACGGTTGCCTAACAGTAAGCTTAATAAATATAAAAGAAAAAGTCCCGACTTATTCAACTTGCATTTTTTCTTTCCCAGCTGGGATGAATTCGGAATCAACTAAATAGGCAAAAAACATGCTGGTGTCCAACAGTTGCTTGCAACATGAGGCCGGTTACCTCTTAAATATTGAGAGACGTCTTCTTTACGTGTAATATTGCACCAGCGCGTGAATCAGCCATACGTTACACGTGGTATTAATAAAAAAAATCTTCAAAGAACTTGCTGCCGAAGTCAAAAGGATGCTTAACCACCTACTCGCATGATTATTCAGTTTTCATGACTTTTCAATTTGCTAAAAAACCAAATTCCAATTCACCCAGGAATCAGGTAGACGAAGAATCACTTTGCGGATGTGCTACCTCCAAATCATTATATATTTATTTTATTCATTTTATTATTCAATTACAAAGCGGTTCTACTGGGTGGGTGGGGGGGGGGGTGGAAGAATTTGTGTAGCTTGAAAGATGGGATGCGCTCCTGGCCTTGTTCTTGCATGGGTATGTGATGTATAAAATAAGCTTACCTGAGGAAAACGTCATTCACGTCCTGATCATCGAATGGACATATTCCTCCTGATACAAAAACAAATGCTTTGTCCTCTCCTGGTATCATATCGTGTCTCGAACTGCCATCAGCATACGTTACTTTTTTTCCTTGAAGATCGTGTATTACCGCTTTTGTAAGGTGACTATGACAACAAATAAGCCTCAAAATGTTTGGAATATCCGGACGAAAGTAAGCAACGAAACTTGCTCGTCTGGGCGGCTTCCATATGAATCTGGTCAAGTAACAAATGTACCTAATAATTCCAAGACTTTCAACACTGGAGTTTTCTGGACGCCAGTCGAGAAGATATGAATATCTGGAAGAACCAAAAATTAAAGAGTGAGAACCAGAGTAAAGGGAGTTGCTATGACCCTTTAAATGACACAGATAAAATTTAAGCAGTGCTACGTAATCGCCGTCTGATATAACGATTAAACTACCAAAAGAAGTGCGAGTACATTTGAAAAGGGAAACTAGAAAGAGCTTATCTTAATGTGTTGAGTGAAAAAAAAGCCAGTAAGCACTTTGTGCATGAGCCGTCAACCTCTTTTCCACCACTAGAGTGAGAAGACTTGGAAAATATTGTTTGAGTTTCAATTTTGTGCAAACCACCTGAGTAATATCTATCCTGAGTAGGATAGAGCATAAGAAATAAAGTTTTAAAAGAAAAACTGTCATTTTTGGCAACTTCCTGGATGCATTTTCCAGAATACCTAAACACC